ATTTCCCATATAATTTTACATATGTATAAAATGACAGCGATCTTCATTTCATAGCCATCCTTGACGCCGTTTTTATTCGATCATACTGTAGATTATAATGGAATTAAAGACAAAGTTTTAAAATAGCCAAAATTTGTTTTTTTTTTCGAAATATCTAGTAAGTCTTGAATTTCTCCGAAAAATCAAAGGCGCATATTTATGACCCCACAAAACTGCAATTTTTCCCCATTTAACTGACTCTCCATCTCCAGTAGTCTCCGAGATACCCATAGAGAACATCGTAGGAAACTCACCTTGTTTAGAAACTATTCTTATTATTTGACTAGATTAATTTGATTAATAAAACTCGATTAATTTAATTTAAAATAAATTTAATCAGATTTTTTTTCGTATATTCTACTACCAGAAAACCAAAATTATATGATAACGCACTTTTCAACGAAGTTGAAGGAAGATATAGTGTATCTATCACAATACTTAATAGAATTAGTACACTTAGAAGAAAAACAAAAAGAAAAAATACCCAAATACCTTCACCTACTACTCATCTACAAAATAAACTAATATAATCTCTTATAAAAACACTACACAACTACTTTTTCACTACTTCAACCACTTCTACACTGAAAAAATGATCAAACTTGCTAATTAATCAAACAAAAAGAAAAAATAACCAAATTATCCCTTCACCTACTACTTAACTGCAAAATAATAAGCTATAAAAACACTACTACTAACATAATTAAACTTAATAAAATTAACCTAATTTTACACTACAACCACTTCAACTACAAAAAAATAAGAATATTTTTTAAAACTAGAAGAAACAGAACCTCGATACGTGCAACCAATATAATAGATCAAGCGGACAAAGAATATAAAATATTTTAAAAATGTGCATTCAGAAAGAAAAAATATCTCGAAAATTATCTAAACAAAATTTTTTTTTTCTTATCAGTGAAAAGCATCGGCCTCGTCGGCCTTGCGAAGTTTGCTGGGTATTTACAATGGTCGAATTGTATAATTACCAGCTTTTATAGCATATCTAATAGACAAAAAGTATCTGGTCGATTAGTAACCAATTGGCACAGTCCGAAAATTATCGATTTTTATTTTCTCTGTTTTTATTGGTCGCTTCAAAATTCAGAGTAACAAAAAATATTTTTCTGTAGTAAAAGACCGTGAAATACACCCCGCCATCTGGTGCTTTACATCCATAAACGTCTTAGGTTGATCTACTTTAAAAATATATATATATATATATACAAGGGTTCAACGGAGTTCAAAGATGGTCAATGTTTATGTCGGCAGTTGGCGACCGCTGGCGACGTTCGGCGACAGCCAATGAATAAGTGCCTGTCGATCACGTGAAGCACAGTACGCCGATGCATTGGAAAATGACCCTTATTGTTGTTTCATTATTTCTGTTAATGTAATGTTTATATTTTGCATAATCTTGGATTAATGTGTTTGAACTTTGACAAATATCAAAAGTATTTTTAAATCGAAAGAAAAACGTTCGAAATTTTCACAATTCCAAACCTAACCTACAGCCGAAACTGACAGTTTATAAATGCAAAATTATTGAACCTCAACTGCCGCGAACATCCAACTGCAACAACTGAACCTCAAATGAACGCCAACTCCCGAGTTTATAAATCCAGCTAAAGGGTATTAACACCAGCATATCACTTAAAATACTATTTTTTTAAGCAAAAATGTCAAAAGTTGACATATCATAATGTCATCAATAAATGTATCAAATAAAATAAAAAACTATGGAGAGTATCATTTAAAAATCAGGTTTTTTAGTCATTTCCGGTCAAAACAGGAAGTGACCGAAACTAATTGAACACGCCAATCAATCCTGATTTATGTCAGATAATAAGATTTGACACTCGATTTGATATTTTCGTTTTTATACGAAAAATAAAAAGTTATACAAACAACTCTTTAAAAACGCATGGTATATCTTAAAAAACTCCTTTTATCTTCTTAAAATTGATTCAAATCGTTCAAAATGAAACGGCCCAAAGAGAAATCCACTCGGTGCACATAAACAGGTGTTTTATTTACAAGTTTATTATAGCTCTGGGAATTGTAGGGTTTACCGCCGAGGGTTAGATTTAAATAAACGCGATAGACCACGTAGTTCGCTGGAGTAACAGGTGAATGAAGTTGAAGATTGCGAGGGGACTGGAATAACTGAAATATTAATGTGGACGAGTGGTTGTTTGACCTGTTGCACTGAAAGAAAAACAAATTAAAATTAATGGCTAATTCAATTACTGAAAAATATACCTATCCAGGCAGTGGAGGTGGATCAATAAGTGTACAGGGTGGGTCAAATTGGACGCTTTTAAAAGGAAACACCCTTTTCTATAGGATATAGACGAAAACTTATATCGGTGTCTGGAGCTCAATTTTTATCAAAAACATGATGGTGAAAACTGCACATTGATATCTGTTACCGTTTTGGAGATACGGGGTGTTTTTCAAAAATGTGCGTTTTTAACAAATCGCTGTGAAAAACATTTTTAAAGCATCTTTTTACGAAGAATTTATTGGTTTAAGTATAATTTTTTTTAAATTTTTAATTAAAGAGTTGTCAACAGAAAAATTGTTTTTTTTATATGGGACACTCTGTATATTTTTAATTCATTGAAAATAATTTAAAATTAACTTTCCAAAAATATAGCACACTTCATATTTTGTCATAGTCCGCTTCAAAATACAGAATTTTTAAAAGTTCGCCACTTTTAACTAGTAGGCTTTGGACCCCTTATTGATGATCTGCCCCTAATGGAAATCAAAAACATATTTTTCCAGTAAGACGAGGCACAGCTTCAGATTGCTGAAGTTATCAGCAAATTTTTGCAGCCAATTTCGAGAATAATTGAATAGCTAACAACGTCCCAGCCGTTGGCTGTCGAGGCCGCCGGACTTAGTGTCTATGGATTTTTATCTTTGTGGAAGAATAAAGGTTTTTATTTTTAAATATTGTTAATCTTAATATCTTTCCGTATCTAGACAAAAATTAGAAGTACTTAGAGGTTATGCAAGGGTATCTTTCACCCTCACTGAATTGATGAATTCAGCGAGAAGTGTTCAAAAACGGTCCCGTCTGTCCATAACAGAAGACACACCTGTAGCAAAATCTCATGTATTGGTTTGCTATTAATTTTTATTGTTATTAGATATAATTTAAATGTGTTGGTGTTGTTAAATATAGTTTAAATTGTTCTAAAATTCTGCATCTCTCATTGCAAATATTATTTTCGTTTTAAATGCTGCTTACAGCTAGAAATTTTGTGCAACACAGCCGCACAGTGGGGTATTTGACACTGATAGTTGATCGAATTTTTTTTATGTAGACCTTATATAAATTATTGCTATTTTCAATTAAAGAGGAAATAATATGAACAAAATAAAGGATAATTCGTCGATTCTAAAAAAAGAAAGAAAAATCACTGTTCCAGTGTTTCCACGGTCAGTGCCAGTAGTAATATCGCAACTACTACTACTAATGCTACGACTGATCCGCGAGCAATGCCCATACCACTAAAGTCGCTACTAATGCCAAATTGTGCTATACTGCTAATGGCACTAATGCGATCGCTTTGTACACAACAATGCCATCGCGGTTTACACCTCGCATTAGTATATCACTGATTGGCAAATTAGAGGAAACCAAGAATGTTTTTCTCATTTTATCAGCAAAGTCGCAAAAAGTCGCAGTATTTTATTTTACTGTATGAAAGCCCAATGTTTACTAAGTAAAACGTATATAGACAATATGCTAAATTCTTCGAAATGCGCAACTAAATCTCTAAGTATAATAACAATGTCACAAATTTAATCAAATTTTCCGTTAGTTAGTACTTTTAGTTGCAAAAAAAAATCGTTAGTATAGAGAATATCAAAATAAATAATACGTTTTTGTAGAATAAATACCTGCAGCTTGCTGAGCCATTTTCAATCAAAACAATAATATAAACGTAAAAAGAGCACAAGAACAACAACAATTTATAATTTTAAACATAAAATTTAGCCATTTACCTCTTATCTGTAAGAAGTAACAACTTTGACGTTTCGTTGAACCAAATGAATGCAACTAAACACACCCATAGCAACGCCATTCATGGCAGAGATGGTTTAACTTATCATTTATCTTTTTTTGGGAAATCTTAAACACATTTGCTTTTTCGAATTTCGATCACCTTTTTCATGCTAATACCCCACCGTGAGCCGGCTTATTCAAAGTGGACGAATTTTTCAAAACTCTATATTACGAAGAGGAATAGAGCAAAATATCAACTATGCCATATTTTTGGAAAGGTAATTTTAAGTTCTTTACAGTTAATTAAAAATATACACGGTGTCCCATATAAAAAATAAAATTTTCTGTTAAAATTTTTTAAATTATTAATTTTAAAAAAATTATACTCAAACCAATAAATTCTACGTAAAAAGATGCTTTTGAAATGTTTTTATAAAAATACAAAATTTTCCATAGAAAAAAGTTATAGCAATCTGTTAAAAATGAGCATTTTTGAAAAACACCCTGTAACTCCGAAACGGTAACAGATATCGATGTGAGGTTTTCACTTCCATGTTTTTGATAAAAATTGAGATCCAGACACCGATATTAGTTTTCGTCCATCTCCTATAAAAAAGGGTGTTACCCTTTAAAAGCGTCCAATTTGACCCACCCTGTACATGTGCACGTGGATCTCCAAATTTTTATTAACACGATATTTGTATTCTTAAATTCAAAAAAAGTGACAATACTTTGATCGATCTATTAAAAATTGTCATAAATTATTAATTCACAAATTTAAATGTATTTCATAAATATATGATATTAGGGTAAACAGTAGTTCACAGTTCACAGTTCACTCCTGGCTGTGGTTATTTTGTTATCTACAGAGTATAAAGTTGAAAACAGATCGAAAATATTAGAAGATTTGTGAAGATTAATTGTACTTCTTTTGTTTCAGGCAACAATACGACGACTTTGACAAGCCACCATTAAAAAAGGGCATAAGTGAGCAAGCTGATGACATCAGTGTGGACAGTATACCAGAATACCAACGACCACCACTTAGAAAAATCGATCAGTAAGAAATTGTTTATTAAAATGACTTTAAAAATGTCTGTTATTTCACTAATAGGCACTACAAGACAGGAAGACTAATGTGTTACTATCTTAACATAGAACATAGATTTAACGATTAAAGAACTAAACTTTTGTTTTAGTTACATAAAAGCTGAAATACCATGTCTTTCAAGAAGAGCAACTGTATCACTCCTGTGTTGTTTAGGATTTATTATTATGTTTGGTATGAGGGAGACAATGGGTATGGTTAATTCTGAATTGGAAACAGCTGATGTAAGTTTGAACAAAACAACTAAAATAATTGAGGCGTCAAGTTGCAAAATCATTCTTATCACACAAACGTTGTTTCGAGATAATAAGCAAAAACCGTTTCAGCAAATGTTTGAAACGTTAATTTACAAAAAACGTATCCATTGAGTGGAATCATTGTTTTGTATCTCGTTTTTCTAGAAATAAAAATTAATATTTAATTTTTAAACAAAAAAACACAAAAATAATTTTGATAAGGCGGGTTTTGTTGCAGTATGATGTATAGTACAATTTTTTTAAAAGTTCCTCAATATGGCCGACCTAGTTACGAAAATTGGTAATTTTTTTTTAATGAAAAATAAGTTGGCGTTAGCGAATTCAGAAATTGATTTACTCTTTGGTTAACAATAATATTTTTCAGGATTGTCAAGTTGACGTTAAAGTTAGGTTATTAGGTGGTTGTCATAAATAAAAACAGATTATTGAAATTATTTAATAAGAATAAAGGTATTTTACCGCAGATCCGAAGAGATTTTACTTAAAGGTATTTTATAAACTTTCTCAGTGAGAATATTAACTCCCCTATTTCTTATATTTCAGTTAAGGGGACGTAAGAACTATAGGAAGTAAATTTTTGTTTTCATGTTTTGACGATATCTGAGAGTTCCTAGAACTATCAAGATTATTGAATAATTATAGTTGTTTAATAAGTGAAATTAATAGAAGACTTGGAAATAGGATGATGCTTTTCATGTTGTAGTTGATAAATCACCCCATTTCTCTTAATTTTTTTTTTCAGTACAGTTAATCACAAATTAAATTGATGTGTGCAAAAACAGCTATATATTTTCAAACATCTTATTTAAATAGTTCTTTTATATACTATTAAACTGTATCAACTACAAAGTATTTAGCAAAAAATTATAAGGTAATAAATTTTGTATATATAATTTATGAAAATTTATAATATATAAAGATTAGAACACAATCCTCTGAAGGAAAAAGAAATACTCAAAAACTCATTAAATATACTTTATTAAAAATAACAACATACCAAAACATCCATGCAAACTGTAATAATCAGAACATTATCCACATTATACCTTTATTAAATTTGTGTCCACACTCCTGCCAGGAAATCCAGAAATGTTTGTTTAAATATTAACTTATTTTAAATTGCCAGAAACACATCAGAATATATCACAACCACAACTATAGGTTAATCTGTACTAAATTTTATACCGAGTAAGTGATGCGTTAACTAACAAGTATAGGATAAAAAACAATTATTAATATAGAGTGTACTATACAATGTCCTGCTTATTTATGAAATGACTTTCCCTTCAAATGTGAGGAATACCAGTAAAATAAAACATAATTTTTGGTTTAGTTTGGTGTTTGATATTCTAACTACATCTATTACAAACCTTAAGTGCTTTTAGTGAGTAATTGTATTTTTTATTATTCCTTGTGTATCCTGTAAAGTAAAAAAATATTTCAAGAAATATAAAAACAATGCAATAGATATCAAACAGATTCATAAAAACTACTTACAATTATTGTACATAATTATATATTTCAAGTGTTATTTGATGTTTGGTCCCATTACCAACATTACCTTATTTAGGTCTTCTCTACCAACTCAACTTTTAAACCTGTTTTAAACCTTCTTTATATTTTAAAACTGATTTACAACAATCTGTAATGCCCGCGCTGTTTCCTGAAATATAAGTTTTAATCTATTTATTATCATATAGTAGATATTACAAACCTGAAAATTACTGATACGAGGAAACTTCTCAAAATAATTATAATAATACCTTTTACAAACATCTGGACTAATTTATTTTCACGAATTTATGAACGAGCCAATGTTTTCTAATACGTTTTTAAGCGATTTACACATTTTGAATATCTTCCAGCCTATTTGTCGTTTCTTGATCGGTGAAAAGATTATTTATAACTATATAATTAGTACTGCAGGTTGCAGGTTAAATAAAAGAACAAAATCAAGTAGAATTTGTGAATAAAAACTCGAAAAATAATGAAAATATTTAGAAAAAGGAACCGTAAACGTCAATGTCAGCCAAGTGTCAGAGTATAGTCAGAGTTCAATTGGATTTACCACAGATTATCAATTCGAACTATTTGAAGTACAGTCGATTCTAGTTTAGAGATTTTTGTTTTTTAAGCCTCCCATACTGAAGTCCGCCATATTGGGAAGTTTTAAATGAATACAAGTATATATTGACTATGAAATGAAGAACGCTGTCATTTTATATGTAAATTTTTATGGGAAATGTCAGCAATCGTCATTTCCTAGCAAACTGGACGCCGTTTTTTTTCGATCATACGCTATTTGCATCCTAACTTGATTTATTAACTGTACTATTTTGTTAAAATTCAGTAAGGATTTGAAAAGACGTCAGTAGTAATGTTATACTTGTGTAAAAAGCTTATGAAAAAATGCGGGATTTGTAAAAATAATGAAAATAAAAAGCAAATATAAGTGGATAAGACGGATTTTGCTGCAGTAACGTAATTTGTAGTGAATTTTATATAAGAATAGGCGACTTGTACTGCAGTTTGGTCATATGTTTATGTAAATTTCAGGGTCCCAATATTAATATATGTCATTATGCCATTTTTTTTAAATGGATAAGGTGGGTTTTGCAATTTAACACCTCAGTTTATGTTGATAAAAATACTTAACTGTGTATTTGCACAATGTATATCTTCCAATTTAACACAAAACTGATTTTAGACTTTTACTTTTAAACGACATCCTGTATATTTTATAAAATATTTAAAATTTTTGAGCGTTTGTTATGGTGCGTCCAGACCTGAGGAGCCGAGTGCCACAGAACACACTAAAGAAGAACGCTAACTCCCATGCATTTTTTAGTTTCAAAACGGTTTCAAATTTGTAAAGAAATCTGTAATCTGTATATTGAAGTGGCGCCATCTAGCCACCCAGGAAAGTAACAAATGTGGCGGCAAATTTAAATAGATGCAATTTATTTTTAAGCAAGACGTATTGACTTGTTCGCCAGTTAGAGCCAATCAGATTTCTACAAAATAATGTGTAGTCATCTGATTGGTCCCAAGTTGGCAAACAAGTCAAATGGTAAAAAACAAGGATTTATATATAAAGGTTAAACCAGGTTAAACTATTGTAAAGTGTTAAATGGTTTGCTTATATCATTAATATATGTGCATAAAAACCTACAATAAATAATTTATTTTAATTTACAGAAAATTATACCATAAAACATTTTACAAACAAATAAAACAACAGATTAAAAAGTATAATATTTATTATAGTACCAGATTTAAGAACACAACAAATATCGTTGGAATACAAGAGAAAGTGACGTCCATTAGAAACAATGTTTTATTTACGTGTATTTTTTACATATGGACTTGAACAATTGTGTAATATCATATTGTGAAGTTTATGTACAAAAATATGGAGTTGATCAATTTTTTTTGTAAAAATATATGGCGTTGTAAATATTACATTGTTAAAAAATAAAATTCACGAACATTTGGACTTGGTTAGGTTACCTCACCTCGCTTTCTCGGATTATTAAATAAAATTGTTAGATAAATCAAAAACCTTTAACTTAAACCTTACCTTTAATAGAGATCTTAAAAATCAAACACAAAACAAAGTTCAAAAAAATTCAAAAATACAAAATCACGATTTTAAAATGAAGATTGCAAAAAACACAGCCAAACAACCAGAAAACAGCGAAACGCACATCTCCGTTCAATTGCAAAACACAACTGAAGAGGAAGGAGGAAGCCGGAAACGGAAAACTGATTTGACATACAGAACAATGACAGAACATAATTAATAGGCCTATTTAGGCAACTATAAAAACAATTTTGTACGCAATTGTTAGGCAACTAGAAAAATTAAAATAAAAATACGCCATCTAGCGCCCCAGGAAATTACTAACCCAAAAACAGATCGTTCAAGGTCGTATATCTCAGTTGACTGGCCCTGCCGAGTGCGAGACGAGCGCGAGAGATTCCAAATTTTTCAAAGGCTGGGGGGGTCTCGCAAGAGCCTCGCGACCGTCTCGCGAGACAACCCACGGAGCCTCGTTGCTATCCGTCCCCTGTCGGTTTTTCGACGGCCGACCAAAGAAAGCTCGCGGCCAAGTCTGGACGTGTTTTTGGTAGGCTCGCTCGACTGCGAGATATTAGCTCTGATATTAGTGCATATTGAAATGGAGACTTGGACGGAAAAAGATCAACTGAAATTCATCGATTTATATAAAGCAAAACCAATTATAAAGAATCCAAAAGATAAAGAATATTAAAAAAACAATAAACACGATGCGTGGGTAGATATTTCACAATCGATGAATAAAACCTTGGGAAGAATATAAAAGAGAATTATTAAAAAGTGTTTAAGAATTATTAAAAAAATAGAAAAACTGTAGAGAAAGTTAAGATACACATTTTAAAATTATTATAGAGTATACAGGGTGGTTCAAAATAGTGTTACGGATATAACATGGTTTTTTAAATGTAATACTCTATTTTTTATTTTATTTTTAGATTCTGCGTAAAATGTTATAACTTTTTTTCATGTATAATGCCAGGTATGATGTTATATATATACCTAAAACGGTATACCCCTAAAACTAATAGTTTTTGTAATATTTCAATTTGATTAAACAAAAAATGTTAGATTTCAGTGACAAAAAATTGTCAGTCATGCTATTGTTTCTGAAATTGGAGTTCTAAAATTTGTTAAGGATAGTTTTATAGGGACGAAGAAGAAGATATAGGTAAAGACATTTGAGTTACATGCTACAGTGTGTTCAACATATATTTATGAATTTCGACTATTTAAAATTAAATAATCTCAAATTGTTTAAATGGAACACCGTATCGCATGTATTATCATTTTTTTTAATAGAATTTACAAATTATGCATCACTGACACTTTTTATCGTACCGAAATCTAACATTTCTTTAAACAAATTGAATTATTACAAAATCTATTATTTTAGATATATAGGTAATATGATATGCAAAAAAAATTACCGAATTGTACATAGAATCTAATAATAAAATAAAAAATAGGGTACTCCCATTAAAACATACCTATATCCGTAACACTTTTTGAAGTACCCTGTATACTCTACAGTAATTTTCAAATGTGCTTTTTAACCTTTCCTATAACATTTCTATTTAACATTTTGTTCTAAAAAACGAATTTTGTAAAAGACGTACTAAAAAAAATAAAAAAAAATAAAAAAAAATAAAAATAAAAAAAAATAAAAAATAAATAATAATAATATAATAGAAAATGTCGCAATCGTCTTGCTCTTGCCTCGCTCTAGTCTCGCTCTTGTCTCGCTCTTGTCTCGCTCTTGTCTCGCTCTTGTCTCGCTCTTGTCTCGCTCTTGTCTCGCGCTCGTCTCGCACTCGACTGCTCAGGTCTGGACGCACCATTTAGATATTTATGGATATTTATTACTAACACTATTCTGTGTTTGAACTATAATTACGGATCATATTGCAATATTAACTATGGTATTTTTCAGACAAATATGACGATATCTCGATCGACAGTCAGTGCCGTAGAATCCGCCATTTTCTGGGGGTATTTCGTAACTCAGATACCAGGTGGCCTTATAGCTGCAGCCTATCCAGCCAACAAACTTTTTGGAGTTGCCATTGGATCATCCTGTATACTAAATATTTTCATACCATCATTATACGACAACCCTACTGGGCTGATTATCATCAAAGTTCTGCAGGGGTTAGTAGAGGTATGGGGTATGAATTATATTGTATATACACAGCGTCTCAATAAATTTTAACAGTTTTAGACTAGTATTCCACTAGTGGAATAAAAAAATGTATTAGATAAAATAGCACTTTAACCGGAAGAGTAGATTAAATGATACTTTAACAGCGAGGATAGGTTAAAAACTTTATTTCTTCTCGCACATTTTTTAATGGCTTCTATTTTTGAAATTTTTTGTATTTTTTTTCATAAGTTATTCGGGATTTAAATGAAAGTAGTTTGGATATGGCGTTTGTCGCCTCAGCCTGAATATCTGTTGGTAATTTACTTATTTCGATTTGAGCCATTTCTGGCTCCAATTCAATCAGCAATCGACACGAAAGAGAATTATAAAATATTGACTCAAAACTGACAACTAAAGAGACAGCTTTATGTGATTTTGTGACAAATTTCGAATGACAAAATAAAACAACCAAATAACGAATTTAGACATTTTAGTCCATAAAGGTTGCCATGACGACCTTTACGGCCTAGGCCGAAAAAGAAACATTTTACGGACTGAAATGAGTCCGTAAAATAGCTGTTTTTGGGAGCGTATGACAAAAAATTGCATTATCGTCTCCCGATTTCATCGCTCGTGAATTAATCTTTTCGGTCGACTTGTATAAAAAATAACTATGTCTTGTATAAAAAATAACTATTTATCCTTGTAGTAGATAAAATATTATTTTACAAAAGTCCCATTACTGTATGATTGTGGATAAATTTATTTGTCTTTCAGGGAGTTACTTATCCAGCTTGCCACGGTATCATGAGATACTGGGCACCACCTCTAGAAAGATCTCGTCTAGCAACGATAGCTTTCAGCGGTTGCTATGCTGGTGTTATGTTCTCTATGATGATTTGCGGGTTGCTGATGAAAAATATCAGCTTGATGGCACCTTATTACTTCTACTCTATAGCCGGTATTTTTTGGTATTTGAGCTGGTTATGGTTGGTGTTTGAAAAGCCTTCATTGCATACTTGTATCGATCCGAAGGAATTGATAATGATTGAGAAATCATTAGGTAAGTTAAAAGGAAAAAAAAGCTATTAAAAAATTTAATGTCTCGGGAGATAAATCAATCATAATATATTTTTTGTGAAAGCATTTCGAAATTGACAGTTTTTAATATTTATTTGAGATTCGAAATGACATTCTTTTAGGTACTAGTGCCTAAAAGTAAAAAATGAAACGTTACAAACAATGAAAATATTTATTTATTATAAATCTTAAAGATACAATTATTTAAATTATTAAAGTGAATGCAAAAGGCATCCAACTGTTCGTCTCTAAGAGAAATGCAAGTTGTAGGAGTCGGAATAAGTAAATTTCTCGTATTGGTAGTGCTGGTAGCTTCTGCTTAGCTTGTTATTTGGCTTATCTTTCTGTCTCATGATTCTTTTTGCTATTTCCATTTTCTGTTCAATTGAATTTTCAATGTAACCTTCAGCAACCGAGCTTGATCGCCAACCTCCATGTCGCTTTAAAACTGTTTTGTCCGCTCCTGAATCTGTCAGCATTGTTGCAGAGCTGCGCCGAAAAAATGACCACTGTATTCAATAGCATTGGAGAGTCCAAAAAATTCAGCTATCTTTTTTGTCATACCTCCAATTGTATTGATTCCAACTGGCAGGGTACACATTGATTTTTTCGATACGTCAAGAAAAATCGCTGATGTGTCACATTGAGTGGTCGAAGTTTTGCGTACTTACGAAATACATGTAAGAAATTGATACCATCTAGTGGTCCTTCAGTAATCGTAAACACTCTTGGAAAATGAGTTTTTGTATTCGGAATCTTCACACTAATAAATGACTGACAATCTTCAATGGCATCTACGGTTAAAAGCGTGATTTGTCCCTCCTACATGCTCCAAATACTCCAACGAGTAAGACAACTTTAGCTAACAGGAATTTTTTGTCATCGGCTTCTTTCATAAAGCGTTCTACACACACCGGTAAAGTCTAGGGATATTACAATTTTATCCAGCCATCGTCAGTAATTTTATTATTTGCATTTCTGATATAATTAAATTAAAATAAACAAATAGTTTACAGGACGTATTGGAAATAAAAATGCGAAATTTACCGAATTTTACAAATTTACCTTGATTTTTATTGAACTGAAAAAAATACACACATTTTTTTTTATTCTAAACTGTGAATTAAAAAAAAAGATAAAACCATTTTTACTTAATAAAGGGTATGGCCTCCTCTACTGTTCATTACAGCCCTACATCGTCTCTCCATGCTCCTGATCAGGTTGTCGATCTCTTCTTGAGGTACAGCCTGCCACGCTGCATTCACGGCCCGAACCAGATCCCTACGAGTTTCACGAGGCATACCCATTCTCAAAATTCTTCTTTGGACCACGTCCCATACGTGGTCGGGGGGGTTGAGGTCAGAACATTGTGCCGGCCAGGGTAAGATATTTGATTGATGAGCATTGATAAACTCACTTACCACTCTGGCTGTATGAGGCCGTGCATTGTCATTCATGAGAATGAAGTTTCTCTCAAAATCATTGGCATATGGTAACAGGACAGGCTCAAGAATTAAATCACAATATGTGATTCCTGTTAGAAAACTTTAAAAAAAACGAAATCGGTTTTTCGGCCTAACTGGACTCCTTCCCAGACCATAACTGTTCCACCTTGATAAGGGTGCACTTCCTGAACATGTTCCAACCGAATAAGATTTCCCGGTTCTCTCCATACCCTAAGCCTTCTCGAATCCGGATGAATTCCAAAACGTGACTCATCCGTGAAGAAAACATTGGCCCATTGTTCATTCGACCACTGAACATGATCTTGAGCCCACAAATATCGTACCTCTCGATTTCCTCTCGTTAAGGGTTGAGCTCTCCAGGGGCGTCTGCTTCTTAAGTTGACCTCTCTTAATCTATTGCGAACAGTGTCAGGACTAACGGTTACATTATGTGTTTCCTGGAGAATTAAACTAAGCTCTGGTGCTGTAAGAGTCGAGCATTTAATTGTAAAAAATGATCTTGCTGAGGGGTAGTAATGCAATGTCGCCCTGTGTGCCTTTCAGCAACATCACCACTTTCACGGTAGCGTGCACTTAATCGCGATATTACACTTTGCGTTGTATTTAATGCTCTAGATACGTCGATTTGGCGCATTCCAGCTTCGAGCATACCCATGGCCCTTAGCATTTCGTCTCTGTTAAGATGTCTACGCTCCATAATGTCGTTTAATACTAAACAGAGATATTTGAATGAACTCTAGCCAGTTATCATAAAAACATAGCCAGTACAGGTTAAATTCGAACAATTGATGCTAGGTGCTTTTTATACATTTGACAAAAAAAAATGCACAAACACTTCTGCAAATATCCCAAATTTAGAAATAACTAGTGTGACTACTTTGTTTCAATCGAAGTAGAAAGAATCGGCCTACAAATATGTGGTTGTTTATTCAAAACATTTATTTTTATCTTTAATAAAATTATATCCCTAGATTTTTCCGGTGTGTGTATTTCCAGTTTTGTAAATACTTTTGATTTCTTTGCCTGATATCCGGAAGCTTTTCTTTTTAAAAATGCAATGCAAGGTTTGTGAATTGCAAGGTTTGTGAATTTTCTAATATCTACGTTTCTGTTCAGGTAAATCATGGTGAGGAACATCGAATATTTACTCCACAGAGTTGACGGCTTTAAGGTAGTGGATAACTTCAGGAAATAGGCTAGCAATACCTTTTTTGTGAAATTCTCAACATGTTTTTCTTTGACCCAGGTTTCAAAGTTGTGGTAGGTGGTCTCGTATAAGTTTTTCGACTTCTCGGGCACTAACGTGGATAGTGCAGTTTCAGCGGCTTGTTGAATATCCAAAGACTCGTCATCATCACTCATTTTTTCACAAAAATTTGTACGAAATACGGCGACGTTTGAACCTGACAGAACTTTGTCATTAAATAATGCATAAACAATGCCTTAGAAAGCGATTAACAGAATATCTTAAAAAATGTTTAAAAATAAATAATAATAATAGCATGAAAATTTCAAATTATCCGCTTTCACAAAAAATCTTGTATGAAATTCGTTGCGAAAAAAGTGTTTTAAGCACTCGAAGCATCTTGCTTTCCGTGCTTAACACACATGCATTTCGCAACTTGTTACATAAATAGCTATTAATTTCAAGCCTTATTTATTTTAATACTTATTTAGGTGGAACACAAGAGCAACACGAGCGACTGACACTACAAAACACACCATGGAAAGCCTTCTTCACATCGCTACCGTGCTACGCTATTTTCGTTGCGAATTTTTGCAGGTCGTGGAATTTTTACCTGCTAGTTTTGTTTCAAGCCTTGTATTTCAAAGAAGCCTTCAAAACAACCACGGCACAAGTAAGATTATCAGAAAAAAAATCATTTAACAATTTAATTAATAAATTATATAATAATATATTTGAATTCCTAGAATGCTTCTTTGGGTGCTCTACCTCATTTTTTGATGACCCTAGTCGTACCGGCAGGAGGTATAATGGCGGATAGATTAAGAAAAAAAGGAATTCTTAACACCACACAAGTGAGGAAACTGTTTAATTGTGGCGGGTTTGGACTGGAAGCAACTTTTTTTCTAGCAATGGCATATTCACATACGACACTACAAGGAATGACAGCGTTGACAATAGGTAATTAAACTACATATAGTTCATATCAAATAAAATTTTAGTCACGTGATTATATATATATATATATATATATATATATATTACTCGGTTTAAAACGTTCTACGTCTTCCGATGCCATCTCTCCATGCCCCGTCTCCGAGAGATCTTTCCTCCATAAACGTGTCAATCCCTTCCTGCCAACTTCTTCTCGGTCTACCCGGTTTTCTTCTTCCTACAGGTTTCCAGTTAATAATTTGCTTTGGGATTCTTATTTCTGCCATTCTTTGGACATGCCCGTACCATATGAGTTGACTGTTCTTTATGTCGTCCACTATCGTATGTTTAACTTCCATAATCTCTCTTATGCGTTCATTAGTTATTCGCTCGAGTCTTGATTTGCCTGCTGATCTTCTCCAAAAATCCATCTCTGTAGCTTCCAGCATTCGTTTTGTTGTTTCCTTAATTGGCCAGACATCACAGCTGTACGTGGTTATACTCTTTATGATGGTATTGAATATTAGAGTTTTGTTCTTGTTGTTTATGCTTCTGTCCCACAGTATCCCATTCAATACCGTGATAGCATTCCTTCCAAGTTGGTTTCGTTCTTTATTTGCTGTATCCAACAGTCCATCATTTGTGATTTTCATACCCAAATATTTGTATTTTGTGCAGCACTTAATTTTCTTCCCTTCTTCTAGTATTAGATCTTGTTGTTCTCCTCCGATACACATATATTCTGTTAGTATTGATCTCGAGTCCCCATTTCTGATATTCTTCTATAAGCTTACGTGTCATATAATTTATGTCATCGTAATCTTGTGCTATGATCACCTGATCGTCTGCGAAGCAAAGTGTGTAAAGCATGTTATCCCCTATGGGTACTCCCATATTTCTACATTTTTGCTTCCAACCTTTGAGAACTTGTTCGAGATATATCTTGAACAGTGTTGGTGAAATACAGCACCCTTGTTTCAGACCTTTGGTTCCATTAAATCCTGTTGTTAACTTTTTGCCGACTTTTATTCTAGTTTTTGTTTGTTTATATAATGATTTCACTGTTTTTATTAGCTCTACATTTATATTGGTTTTTTCGATAGCTTCCCAAAGTCTCACAAGGGGAACGCTGTCCTATGCCTTCTGCAGGTCCACGAACACAAGATGTAGCTCATAACGTAATACAAAACTAAAGTGTCAAAAAGAATGACAATGTCAAGAAATAAATAAATAAATGTGGCAACTTGACATTTTTCTACAGCTTGAGAGCTACCACCTGAATCCCCAGGGCGGAATTTAAATTCTAGTTAGTCAGCAGTTAGAATATGTCCGTGGTTGGCAACAATAAATTTAAAAATCGCGCCCTAGATTAATATTATTTTTTTTTTATTAATTTATTAGTAACTAAAAGTTTAATTGATATGAAATATATTTGAATAATATATTATTGTTTTATTTGTCTTTTTCCAGGTGTTGCATTTAGCGGCTTTGCTATATCTGGTTTCAACGTAAATCACTTAGATGTAGCACCGAGGTATGCCAGTATCTTGATGGGGCTATCGAATGGTATCGGAACCATTGCTGGAGCTGTGGTACCAGTCATTAAAAATGCCATAATTCAGCATAACGTAAGTAACTTTTATATAGTCTATAAAATGAATAACTTTGAATTTTGACCGTTATTTTTTACCAACATGGCAAATATAAAATCCCTCTATCAAAAAATTTACTGATATTCTTTAAAATGAGTGCCTGAACGAATCAGATAGGTAACTCTTTTTACTTTCGTGAAATAGAAAAGGAAAATAATAAAACAAGTGACAGTTCTTCCTCAAACTTCCTCTACTCTAAACTAAATATCAGACCAATGCCGTCTCTAATAGAACAGCCTCGGAGCGTGGTTTATGACGTCACGCTAGTTAGATACTGCGGATTAATAAATAATATGTTGTAGAATACGTGGAAAACATAATTATTCCTCGTATTTTTGGTATGTATTTTAAAAATGATATAGTTTACATGAAATATGCATAATATACAGTTAATAAATACTTTGGCAAATAATCCATCAACCATACAAATGCAGAAAATGTTTTACAATATACAAATAATGAATAGGTACATAAGATAATGGTGATTATATATATATATATTTTGCAAGTATCAATATTCGAAAAATTATATTTGCACAATTATTTTTGTATTAACAATATTATAGAAAAAAAAGGCGTCTTCAATGGCTATGAAATAAAGATCGCTGTCATTTTATATGTAAAATTTTTCTAAAATTTTTGATTGTCTTGGGATTTAGGTTCGGGAAAAACGCTGATTAAGTTTTCATTTGGTTTTTCATTATTTTTATTTGGTTTAAAAAAAGCGTTTCGGCTAACATTATAGCCTTCATCAGTGTTGTGTCATATGAAAAAAATAATGTCGAATATAATCCAAAAAATTAGATATAAAATATTCACATCACAAACCACATGATGTTTAATGCAATTAAAAACTAATATAAACTTGTCAAAAGATGACCACATATTTTTTAAAATTATTATTTTTAACACTAAAACTATCTACATTGACTATGGTTGAAATCGTACTCAATAGTCAATGTAGATAGTTTTAGTGTTAAGAATAATAATTTTAAAAAATATGTGGTCATCTTTTGACAAGTTTATATTAGTTTATTAATAGCAGTAAACATTATGTGGTGTTAGGTTAGGTTGTGAATATTTTATATGTAATTTTTTGGATTATATTCGACACTATTTTTTTCAACATATTTATTAATCCGTAGTATCTAACTAGCGTGACATCATAAATCTCGCTCCGAGGCTGTTTTATTATAGACGGCATTGCGTCAGCATGGCCGCAAGTTGCTAACCTAATAAAATTAAAACTAGAAAAGCCCGCGGGAACTGTCAAATTCAAAGTTATTCGTTTCACAGACTATATTAAGTATTTTTAAGTTTATTTAATGTCTTATTTGTCTTGGAAATTACGGCGGATGACATTCATATACAGTACATCTGCTGGATCTGTGTCTATAAAAGGAATGCGGACAAAAAATATTTAAATAAACATCAATATATTTTATACGTCGACTTGACGAGTACGTCACCGCAAATCGCTCCGCCCACTCATTTTATTGGCTACTTGCAAATTTGTCGAATTTTTATTGATGGGACGCGTCGTCTAATTTTTTACGAAAAACATCGAGAGAATATCGTTTCCCCTCTCACGGATACCCCGTAGCTACAAAACTAACAGACGTACTGTAGTTCTACATGTATATGTAGAATTATTATTCAACGAATATAATAATTATAGATATAAAATGGGGGAGATCTGGCATTTAGAAGCCAATTTTGACTTTGTTTTTTTGCTACCTTATGGTACTTGGTTTATGGAGATGACTTCATTTAAGTACCGCGGTCCTTGGTTATACCGGGTGCATCTCAAAAGTGGCTCACCCCTATAACTTTTTTATTTTTTTCAGTTAAGAAAATGAGACTTGGTATGTTAGTATATGACATAAATTAGGATTGATTGACGTATTCAATTGTTTTTGGTCACTTCCTGTTTCACCGGAAATGACTACATCTTTTGATTGTTAAATGGCACCGTCGGTATTTTTTACTTTATTTGATAGAAAATGGCATTCTGAATAGAATGACATTCTCGCGTAATCAAAAATTGTACTTTAAAATTCAATCTAGAGTGCCATGGCTATGTTAAAAACACTAATTTTTAATTAAGGAGCCTTGAAAAAATAGATTTGGTCGTCTAATGTTTTTAGTGTCTTGTCCTAGCCAGTTAGAAAATCCTCAAATTGTATTTTTAATTATATCTCAATTTTTTCAAATGGAACGAGGGTGGCTCATTAGCATATTTGGAAAAGGCATTTTTTTACGAATAATTTGATACCACACACTTGGTATTTCGAGTCAAATGTTCGTTACCAACCGCAAGTTATAATTTCAAATAAACCATATGCGGAAATGTCAAAAGTTGACATATGATATGTCATTCTGTTCAGAGTGTTATTTTCTATCGAATAAAGTAAAAAAATACCGAGGGTGTCATTTCAAAATCAAAAGTTGTAGTCATTTCCGGTGAAACAGGAAGTGACCGAAAACAATTGAATACGTCAATCGATCCTAATTTATGTCATTTACTAACATACCAACTATTGTATTGTTTAAAAAAAAACATTGAAAATGCATAGTTTTTTAGATTATATCTTTAAAATCTGCTTCACACTTCCCTCTTGGGCACCCTTCGAACTACATCCAGTGTAAACGCGGCCTAATGAAGTTGTTCCTGTTCCGCCGTGACGCGTTCCGAACAATGGCCGATGTGCCGCGACGCGACAGACGCATAAACGGGGCCTTATTTTACGGAAGTCGACCGTGGCACAGAGGGGAGGATGGCGCGTATGAAATATGACGATGATCTGATGAGGGAGGGTCGAAACGTCGCGTCGGCAGTAAAAAAACCGCTGTGGAAACCGCTTTGTAGCGGGGAAAATGCGGAAAATTGGAAAGAATGATGAATAAAAGTGTATCGTATATTTATAAGTTATGTTTGTATTAACAAAGTTTTGAATAACAAAGGTTTCCAATAAATTATATTTTGAACAATCGAATTTTCGAAAAAAGTTTCTGCGTGTAATTTTTCAAGATAGGTTAGGTTAGGTTGCTGGGGTTTGGGATCATGTTTGATCCCTCACTTAGTATACCTAATCTTCCTCTCATTCTTTCTTTGCATTAAAGCACTTCCAGCTCTTTGCAAAGTTCCCGATGTCGCTGATGTTGGTTCTGCTGCTTCCTCTAGTCCCTCCAAAAAACCTTGCCCTAAAGTTTTAAAGCGTCGGTATTCCAGTGCCGAACAGTGGCACGGCAGGTGCTCAATGGTTTCTTCTTCCTCTCCGCAGTCTCTGCAGTAATCGTCGTTGGAAATCTTCCATATCACGAGGTTTACCCCCGTGCGGCAGTTTCCAGTAATGATACGTACAATTATGTGTACTAGATTCTTTCTGTGCTCTAGTAGTTGTTTTGTCTTTTTGCTATCTACCACTGGCCATAGGCTTCGAGCTGTAGTGCAGTTCTCACGGTGTTACCACGTCTTTTGCTGCTTAGCCTTGATAGTAGTTCCTACAGCTTCCTTCAGTGTTTTGATCGTCACAAGTGGTGGGTCATCTGCCACGGCCTCTCTCCTGGCCCCCTCTTTGGCAAGTCTGTCTGCTTCTTGATTGCCCACCACATTGCTGTGGCCTGGCATCCAGCACAGTGTCGCCCCGCCTTGACGCAACCAGGACAGTGCTTCTCGGCAGTTCATCACACTTTCGATCTCACTGATTGCATGGTAATTCTTCTTAAAGCGCCCAAGCTGTCAGAGTATATCACGATATCTCCTATTGGTCTATCCGCAATTTTCTCTCGTATACAACTAGCCGCTTTCTTTATGGCGTAAACTTCTGCTTGTAGAACATTACAGCCATCCGATAGCCTTAAAGATCGTCGGATGTCTTAGTTCCTCTGAGAAGATGTGCCCCCTGAACTTGCGGAAGCATCTGTGTAGACTGCTGTATCTCTTGAGTGTTCATTACTCGGTTGCTTTCCCATTCTTCTCTTGGTGAGCATATAGTCCGTTTTCTGGTCTAGCAGATATTATGGACTCGTGTTTGCCTTGATTCTCTTCATCACTGACAATATCCTCGAGTGACCGTAATTGGTCTGGTTCCACAGGTTGGATTCCCTTAATCTTAGGGCACCCTTAGCGGCCAGATCCTTCAAGAGCCTGTCGCTTGGTTGCAAGTCCAGAATCACTTCTAGCGCAGCTTGCGCCGTGTTGTTCCTAATTTTTCAAGTACATAGAGGGAATTCTAAATATTCCCAGACATTGCAAAACTGTAACGAGACATCATATACTACACTGACAGATATGAACAATAAACAACATAAATTCTCATGTATTAAAAAGTTCAATATAGTTCGTTCTCAATTCTTTTCAAACTAAAATTAAAATCCCCATTTGTCTATTATACCAGGGAGAACAAAATGTTGTTATTTTGGAGAAAGTTTGGAACACCCTGTGAAATAATTTAACCGAATAAGAAATTTAAAAACCACTTTATCATCAAGGAGCATCTTTTCTCGATAATTAGTTTTTTCTCGGTTTTTTTATTCATATCATTGGCATATCATATCGAGTTTTATTGGAGAGATTTGCTTATGAATAAGACTGTAATAATTGAAACAATTTTAGTAATAAAAGCATATAAAGGGAAATTAAAACCACTTTGGTTGCACGTCATCAATGACACCATTGCGTCGTCTTATGGAGTTTGCTGGTGGTCGTATTATGATGTGCAACCAAAGTTATTTTAATTTAACCATATTTGTTTTGGTCTTGATCAATACACTTATGAAATATAGTCTGTCCAACGAGAAGATCCTTGACAGTGATAGATGTGTCTGTCATTTTAATTTCAAAGTAGTTATTTTATTTTACAAAGAAATAAGTTGGTACAACTGGAACGCATAGCAGGATATATTTAAAATTTGATTGACAAGATGACAAGTGATTACTTCAAAATATTGTGAAAAAAACTGTATAAAACTGAAAAAATGTAATCGAGTTATTTTATTTAATAAAAACGGTATATGTTAATACAAAACAAACAAGAACAAGACACTACATACCAAAAAAATATAAAAAAGAACTATTATTTACTTTCAAGCTTTATGAAACTACCCGCATTTATGATTATATTTATCAATATAACTTATGTACAAATACAAATTTGTAATATTTCACAGGAATAAATAAAACAACATAGGTAAATAAAACAAACTATTTTATTAATAATAACACCTACCAAATTTTATACCTTAAAGGTTGATTAATTAACTTTAATCATAATTTTTTTAAACCAGTACCTTTTGACATTATTTTTCTGCAGTACTAAAATCCATTATTTACCTATCGTGTGATGTCGATATTTTACAGCTACTCCAGTTTTTAGTATGTGTTTAGTTTGATCCTTCTACCATATACGAGATGCACTTATCTACGACGAAATGGTGTACAAACTTTATCGATGGCAACTTCATTGGTGTATAAGACTTTCTGCCTGGGCAGCGAGTATTAACCATAAACTGTGCTCTGGGTCTACAGTTAATTTTCACTCGATTTTTCCTCCAATTGACTTCAAAAGACACAAAACACACGTAATAATACGAATCAAAATGCATCATCTTCCAAAACGCAGGGATTTAACAAAAGTTGACAAAAATTATAACCTATAATTTGGCAAGACTTTGACAAGCGTTAAAAATGACAAAAATCTAAAGGCGAGTTCATACGCATCGGCGTTCGTTTGTCGTTCATCGTTCCGTCAAACCAATAAAATTGAATTACGATCTGTCATTTTTTAAATAAACCAATAAAACTGGTTAAAAACAACAAGACACGACGTATGACGGATTTATATTTAAACCCATCCATAGATAACTTAAAAATTATTAGAAACTTTTTTTAGTAAAATAAATAGATTGGTATGGGACGTCATCTGCTTTCTTCTGTCATCGTCTGTCGAAATCTTACCTGAGAAAAAAAACAGAGTATATTGTTTATTATTACTGTAATATCACTGTCTCTGAAAAGTCATATTATTATTGTTTATTGGCCATTTGTCAACATATAAAAAAATAAACTATGAATATTACTTTGGAAACTCGGGAATATATTTGACAAAATAAATTATATGCTAAAAATCAAAAATGTGATATATTCCTGTTGCCCAAAAAAAAACTCTAAAAATTCAAAAGACTTGAAGAAAATAACTCTATAATTTGATACTTTTTCAGACCAAAGAAGAATGGCGCATCCTTATTATCCTGTCCGCCATGATTCATTACGCCGGAATCATATTTTATGGACTGTTTGCTTCCGGTGAATTACAACCCTGGGCAGATCCTAAAGTCGAAGAGGACAAACAATGGAACCAGATGAACGAGTCTGTTCCAGTATCAAAGTTTAACGTAAGTAGTCAACGTAAATGAAAAAAAACTAAATGTAAAAATATATATTAAACAATTTAACCAATTACAATAATTACAAAAACTAATCTTCAACCCTGGGTTCATTAACATTAATTCTAAATTCGTTAATAAGTTTTTAAATATATTTGTTACAGCTTTATATTTTATGATTAAAAGACCATTGAAAGATATTAAAGACAAGCTAATATTAGAAGTGTTTAAAATCTATCTGTCAATTTCCATTTAAAGACTCAATCTAATGGCCTTCTACAGCGTCAACCTAGCGGCGGCGTCACGAACTACGGCGCTGCCATGGAGACGTCTCTACCTCCTTCCAGACCTCCTGGACCTCGACAGATGTCACAAGAAGTGCCACCCAGACCACCAGCTCCTAGGACGCTATCCCAGGTAATGACATAGCCTGATTGAATGAATAACCATTACAGTACTATCTCTTTAATCGGAACAGCTAATTGTAACGATCAAAAGAACATATCCAGTTATTTGTAACATAAGCAATTTTGCTATATCAATTGAAGTGATTTTTAGGAAGACGTGTAGATAAAATTTTACTGTTTGTTTTAGGAGGGTTATGCAACTCAGCAAGCAGTTGTTTCTTCTGGAAACCCGTTTTCCGGAGCTGCCACATCCACGAATCCATTTAGACAGGAAGCGGTCCAGCCAGCACCACACGATAGCTACATGCACGGAACCATCGATGACAGGACTTACTAATCTGTAGCTAACACTTCCAGTCATCAGAAATAAATATTAATGTTCACTGGTTAACTCGTCAGATATAGGATGATATCTGTCTATTGATAACGTTTTTTAGCTTGTTTAGCAGAAAAAGGATGCCAAATACGCCAGATAATCAGATAAACACAGAACTAAAATAGTATAGTTCTAGTGACAAGTGCATCATCTTGCATTCAAATTTGAAACATTGAGTAAAGTTAAGAGATTTTTGAGGTATTGAGTATAAATTAAGAAATGTTTGTAATAGTAGAAACAGAAAAAACTCTGAAACTGTAGCGTCTATTATAATATAAATAATAGCCTGTCGATGCTAAGGATGTTTTTTTTCGATATATCGATAATTATAGTTATCGATATATCGAATAACCATAAGTGACTTTAATTATGTATAGAGGGTTGTTCACCACACACGACACGGAGTATTGTAGCTGAACGATTAGATTTTTACTAATTGTAAGTTTTGGGATTGTTGAAAGACTATTAGACCTACAATTTAAAAATATTTTTACAAGATACAGAGTGTCCCAAATAAATAAAAAATATCAAAGTTGTATTTTTTTAAATGGAACACCCTGTATATTATTACATTTTTAGTTTCTATGATTAAAATAAAGGTAAATTTGATTAAGGTTTATCACCCTTAAACCTGACCGTTTTTGAAATATTTTCAATTTTGTGAAATTGTAGTAAAAATTTTAAGGCTTTATTTCTCCAAGGGTATCAAAGTTTTTAATACTAAATATTTACTGAAGTTTAATTATTGATCAGTTATTGTGTTGCAATAATAAAAATAATACTACCTCATACAGAGTGTCTAAAAATTTATTTTAAATAATTTCTAGCTTTCAACGGCAATAACTTGTTTAATTTAAATGGAACACCCTGTATATTTGAGGAGAATCAGATACACAATTTAATTGTCCATCAAATTGTATTATACCATTTTTACCTAGCTCTTCAAGTTTTCGTAGAAAATGCTTTTTCTTATAATTTAGACCTTATTTATCAATATACCCATGGAATATTGACATTTTAGATTGTTTTTAAAGCAACAAATGTACAGGTGCTAAAAGCGATAATATGACCAGCCTATTTGTATACAAAAATAAAACTATTTAAATATTTATAAAAGAGTGTACCATAATTAAATATACCACCATTATTTCCGCCCAAATACTATTTAATTACATATTTAACTGTGTTAGTTAACAAATTATTCTAAATAAATGTGGATTTGGAATCAGAAATCAATATAATAATAAGTTATGAAAATGAACGTCTCTGTTGTTAAATAAGCATCCGTCAAAAAATGAAATAAAATTTTTAAGGTGTTATTTTTTACCACACTGTCTAATACACATAGAAAATTAAGTTTTTTAGTATTTGAAGCAATTATTATTAATCAACGCAAACAGTCAATTAATGTAGTTTGAATACTGGAATCATATTAATTGGTCCTCTTTTACAAATATTTAGACAATTTTTTTATTTTTTAATGACATAAACGAACTATATCGACAATATTAATATCTGTAACCTTTAAAAATTTGTTAGATCTTTAAAAATAATCAAAAATGTCAATATTCCATAGGTATATTGATAACTGTGGTCTAAATTATAAGAAAATGCATTTTCTACGAAAACCTGAAGACATAGATAAAAAATGATATAATACAATTTGATAGACAATTAAATTGTGCATCTGATTCCCATGAAATATACAGGGTGTTCTATTTAAATTATAGAAGTAATTGCCGTTTATTGCTAGTTTTTATTTAAAATAAATTTTTAGACACTCTGTATAAGGTAGTATAATTTTTATTATTGCAACACAAAATTTAGTAAATAGAAATACTTCAGTACAATATTTGGTTTTAAAAACTTAAATACGCCTGGAGAAATAAAGCCTTAAAATTATTACTGTATTTTGACAAAAACCTAAATATTTCAAAAACGGTAAGATTAAAATGCGGTAAACCTTAATCAAATTTATCTTTATTTTAATCGTAGAAACTATAAATGTAATAACATACAGGGTGTTCCATATAAAAAAATACAACTTTGATATTTTTTATTTATTTGGGCCACTTTGTATCTGTAAAAATATTTTTAAATTGTAGCTCTAATAGTCCTTCAACGAACCCAAAACTTACAATTTGCAAAAATCTAAGAGTTTAGCTACAATACTCCGCGTCGTATGTGGTGAACAACCCTGTATATCGATACCTATCGATACTTATCGAACTACTAATAGTATTTCCATAACTATCGGTTATTGACAAATATCGATAGTTATCGATATATGAAAATTTAGTTTTGTAGAATATTTTTATTTATCTCTTTAAAAACCTAAATATTATTTGAACATTTCAAAATTATTATAAAGTAAGTTATATTATATTTTTTGTTTCCCTTAAAATTTAAGACTACCTTTTATAATAGATACTTAGTATTCGAAATGGATTTTTTTGATACATCGATATCTATCGATAACTATCGATATGTCGAATAACAATATGTCACTTAAAAATGATCGACTGTTATTGATAAATGAATAATTATCGGTAATGTGATAGTTATCGATATATAGAGTTATCGATAGTTATCGTTAACTAAAATATATTGATAGGCAAGTTGCCATAACTTATCGATATGTAAAATCCATTATCGCCCATCCCTAGTTAATGTCCGAGTGCTTACTGTGACAGAGATAAATTTGCATATCATCCTATATCTGACTAGCTAGGTACATTACATCAAATCCGGGTTTTCATAAAGCAGAGTAAAAAAATGAAAAAAGAACATTGATTTGATTATGGCAAGAAATTTCTTTACTTTGAAAGCTTGGAATTTATACCTCAAACTAAATAAAACAAAGTCATTTAAAATTAATAAATTAAAAGAAATATTATTCTTGTTTCTCCAAGACAGCTCATTTGCACTATTTGCTAATAATAGTGTATACTACAAATGGATTAACTAAAAATAAATAAGAAACAATGAACAAATAAGAAAAACAATTATTTAACCTACTAACATAAGAAATGTGTTCTAATTTTGATCCATATAAAAATTATAACATTAATTTTGTTGTGTTTGAGATTTTGCATAGGTTGGTTTATTGTTAACTTATTACTATGTTAAAATTGTTATAAAATATGTATTTTTAATGTTTTTTAACTATATTTTAGTATATTTTTGTTGAACATTTGTTACACTAAAGTGCACAAATTTTGAAAATGCAATATTATTGATTTAATATATTTCTTTACTATTGGAAAAAGTTATAGTTCTAAATTTAGACAGTTTTTATTATAAGAATTTATTTATTTATAACTGTTTTAAACTTAAATAAGAAAATTTAAACAAAATTAACATTGATATATTTTAAACTATTTTCTTTTAGTTATTCACTCAATAATTTTTTAATTTTAATAAATTTTATATATCTTATTTTTTACATGCATTACCATAAAGAATATCGACAATATAATAAAAAAAAACAATTTGAAAGCAATTTAAAATACACTTAAATAATAACATATAGGACAATAACAATAATAAACTATGAAAAATATCTACTACTAACTACAATAATTATAACAGACCAGATAGAAACAAAATATTTAATACCAAAAATGAAATCAGAAAATAAAGGGAAGGATTTTTTAATTTTCTGATTTTTCTATGGTTATTTTTTAAAAACACTCCCACTTTTTCAAGAAATATTAATATAATAATTTTATTTTTAAAAATGCAGCCATATTTGATCGGTCTCTGTACTGATTTCATAATATATTTATCAGAATCTTTTCTAGTATTATTAGAATTGCCTGTTACAACATGAACAATAATAAAGTGAATAAAGCACTTGTTAAATATCACTTTAATAAATAAATTAAGAAGAAAAATATATAAACAACATAAACTATATTTTTCTTATTCTTCACAAATTTATTGTATATAAACTATATGTTTTCTTTGTTCTTTTGGAATACTAACTATAATAATCTATTTAAATACATAGAGAAAATATTTCATAAATAGATAAAAACACAGATAAACAATTATTATTAAAAATAATATTAAATCATAATTATATCTAAAAATCAAAAATTTACTTCTATTCTCTAGATCTAATATCTACTTCTAAATATCTACTTCTATTCTAGAATTATCAGATTAATAAGTACTTAAATTTGGAGCTAAACAACAAAAGCTAAATGCAGACTACAATCAAAATAATTAAAGGATAAGATACGATTTTTATTTCAAAGTGTAAACCAACAAGTATATAAGAGTTTTTTACTATTTTCTTTTGATAAAAACTTAAATAATCTATTTAATAAAATAGTTTAATAAAAAATAAACTAAATAAATTAATTAATTACGATACGATAAGATACGATTTTTATTTCAAAGTGTAAACCAACAAGTATATAAGAGTTTTTTACTATTTTCTTTTGATAAAAACTTAAATAATCTATTTAATAAAATAGTTTAATAAAAAATAAACTAAATAAATTAATTAATTTTCAATAACAATAATTAAAAATAGAAAGAAAACGAGATAAAAACTATATAATAAGTAGTAAACAATATTTAAAAATACTTTCCTAATCAACGAATATTGATTCAAATATAAATTTTCAGTAAAAAAAATATGATTAACATATTTCACTATGAATTTTCTTTATAAAACCTAATATTTTAAAATAAATTGGTGATATTATAAAATACTTATAAAATTACACTGTTTTAATATAAGATCCGATTTATATTATAATTCTAGTTGTCTTTTTGATATATTTTGTATTGCTATTAATATTTTGATTTTAAATATTTTTGAAAATATTTTCTAGTTTGTCTCATTTTTAATTCTTTATTTCAAATTATTATTAATGTTGTGGTTTCCATTGTTTTAAAATGTAGATATAAAAAAATATTTTATTTTTATTTATTGATTTCTTTTTAAAATCTTTTCTGTTAAAAAAATTTAAAGATTTTATTGATCATTAAAAAAAATGACAAATATCTAATTAAAGTACTATTTTCTATAAAAGTCATTAACATATTTTTTTCTAGAGGGTGGTAAGAATAAAAAACTTATAAGTGTTAAAATATATAAGTATTCTAATAACTTAGGTAAAATAAATTGCAATTGTTAGACTATGCACGGTCTAAAATTATATGTATATTTAGATAACATTGTCAATTTGTACATAGATTTAGCTAAACGTGTTTGATCAAATTGAACACTATAGTTCTTATACCCTCTGTATAATATCGATCTAAAAACTTGTCTCTCAAATGACTGTAATTCTTTAAAATAAAACTCTTTCATTCTAAATGTATTAGAATTTCTCAATTTTACTAAAACAGTATCGAGTCTCAACTTAGAAGAGAAA